ATGCAGAATTTTAAGGAATCTATCTCTAGCATTAGAGTTTGTAAACCGAGTTGTGTTGTGTCATGTTTGTATCACGTTGTGTTGGTTTTGAGTATTATCTAGCACATCAAAAATTTAAGACCAGGACTCGTTTCTCTTGATGAAACCCACCACAACCCATGTCTCCTATATGCCAAATATCTACTTGATTCATATAGTAGCAAAACCAAGTGAGAAATCCTCTAATTCTCTACTTATGTAGGTATTAACCGATCAATAGGTAGAGAACAAAATAGAAACTTCTCATACAATACCATCAGTTTAAAGATAATCAGTATCAAAATCAGTCTATTCATGTTTGAACTTGCGTTATAAGTTAATTATTCATGTTTACGGTATCTCCTAATTACATATTGTGTCCGTGTGACGTTAACATATGGCATCGAGCATCAAAAATTACTACACTCTCAGTCTAGCATACCGTAAAATAGAGCTCTGCTGGCATAGTGAGATTAACAGAGAGTCCTCCTTTTAGCATAGACCAGCAGCCAAATTGAGCTATGACAGAGCCCACTATCTTTGTTTCATTATGCCAAGTTTTAAATGCAGCAATCACAGTGTCACTTCCTTCACTAATTTGTACCCAAGCTGAAAAAATTCCAAACTCATGTCATAACTCAACACAAAAGGTATGTAAAGTCTAAAAGGCGAAAATGGTAGGCAGTTTTATCTTTGTTTTGGAAAGACTGATTCTCTGGAACTATTGTTAGAAACTAGTGACTAAAAACCCAAGAAAAAAATTCAAAATGTTCATGAATTACCTGAAAATGTGTGAAGAAGCCCTTCCTCTAAATATATGTGTTGTGAGAAACTATCATTAGACTGAGTTCTATTATAAGCCACAATAAACTTGTTCCCAGTCTTAGAAGTTCTTTCTTCAATTTTGCCTTTTCCAAAAACCTTCCATCCTTCTAAGCCATCATCAAACTTTGGGTTTGCTACGAGTCCTCCTTCATATTGAGGAGCAGAAGGACTAATCTGGCACTGAAAACATCAGGGAAACATGATAAATATTGCTAGGGTTGATGGCACATATGAAATTATACAAACAATTCACTTGTTCTATTTCTCTTGCTACTTTATAATTATTCCCACTAACTATTCAAAAATAGCATCATAATCTAATGGTTCCAGTATTCTTTGTTTTAGATGTCTTTGCACTAGGTTTCAATTCTCATCCGATCCAACATAAAACCCTTCGGATTTTAAATTTAACCCTTTAGATTTCACACACACAAACATGCAAGTGCGTGGCAGAGAGAAGCAGCCATTCTCTTGTTTCCATTTTGAAAAATTTTCAGTAATTCTTATCATTTATGGTGAATTTTTTCCATTGTGTTTTGCCCGTGAACATAGACTGCTAAATGTGGGCTAACCCCGTAATATTGTGTGCTATGTGTTTTTCTTCCTTTTTCTTTAGGTTTCATTCTACTACAGTACTACTTATTTGTGATCTTGTGCATAGCAATATTGATTGATGAAAGTCCTGTCTTTGATTGGGATGGTCTACTGCATTCAAATACAATAATAGCCTTCTATATGACTTTATGCTTTGGTGGAACTTAGGTAAAGCATTGTCTCATTCACAGAAAAAAAGAAAGGAAAAAAGTATTACTGTTACCTCTATGCTTGCAGAGTAGTTGTAGGTTGAAGCCTCAATATCAAAACCTATATGAATCAAAAGAGTAGAAGCTCAAGCTTAGTCCATCCCAAACAGACAAACCAAAAATGTTCATCAAAATTTGTGGGTAATCGTATCTCTAATTGAGTCGACCCACCATGGGCGCCTAACCCCAATCCAAGTCCATAACCCAATATTTAACAAAATCTATTTTGGTGAAAATCCATTGAGGTTCAAACCTCAAATCTACAATTGAGTAAGCAGATAGTGTCTGCTGGGGAAAAAGGCATGAAAAACAAATCAACCTGCTAAAAGTAGGAACCACAACAGCAGTAATACTTTGTTTTCGAGGTAAACCTTCATTTTTCTCTAGCATGAAGCTCCTGAAAGAAAGAAGTCACAATTAGCTCGTGCTTTCAACATAATCTTTTTTTCAAATTTTGGTTCAAACCACACGCCTTTTGGACTTGTGGTTATACTATAAGCTTAAGAGGTACGAAATCATCCATATACAAAATGTATCAAGTCAATGAGAGCGTCTTGAACTGGGCACACAATGTATTAAACCCTAAAGTCTATCCTTCCAAACTACCTTGGTGTATTTGCTTTTAACGTGATTTAGTAGAAAAATTGACAATTACTAACAGTATAGTTTAAAATTGAAGAATCCAACTAGAGAAACAGTCTCTTCTGATACCATGACTATGTTATATCTCTTGAATTTGAGAAAAAATTTGGAGAAAACTATGCACAAGATAGAACAACAGTACCTCTATAACCTCACCTGTGATAATAACCTTCTATTCTCTCCTTTCCCTTCTTTGTAGGTTTGTTGTAAGTGAGGCTTTGGACTAAAGATGTATCTATAGACTCATATTTGTAAACTTGGATGTTTTGAATTCAAAACTTGACAACCTTTTAGGGTCAGGTCATATAGTCCCGGTATGGATGGTCTGTCCTTGACCAGACCGGGTAGGGTTGCGTGTAATCTGACCCGAACACTCCTGACTATTGAACTAAAAAAAAAAAAAAAAACTCCGACCCATCAACACTCCAACCGTACTAAAACTTAAATCCTCCAAGAAGTTTAGATTTTATGCCTAGATTTAATCCTACTAGATTGATTCTTAATTATTTTCTTGAACTACTATATTCAAGTAATTAAAGCCAAATCTATAAGCCTAATAGTCTGTTAGGATCCTTGTTTATCAATTATGACTTTTTCATCTAATATTAAATGTATGAGACAAACTTACTATGGATTTTTGGATGATATCCTAAGATATGCCAACACTTCTAGTGGGAGAGAATTGTGTTTCACCATTTCTAATCTCAAGGAATTTTCAATTTCGGATGTTTCTAAAATTTTGTTAGACGCTGAAAACTATTTGAAGCTGAATTTTTTGAGTGCGAAACAAAGGTTTGAAAAATGAAATGAAAAAACCAGAATTAAAAAAGTTTTTAAAACCGTTTGAAGTGTTTTTGAAAAAGCCGAATTTTCCCTAGAAGCCCTTGAATAAGGTTCATTTTTTAGTTTTTCTTTGGTGCTGATAAAAACTGTTTTTGTCCAAAAAATTTGATGAAAAAACCGCCAAATAAGTTCGGATCCAAACGAATCAAACTTTTTTTCCTCTAAAACCAAAAAAACTGAGGTTTTAAGCAAACTCTAAACAAACCAAATATCAACTAATACACCATTATTAATCGAGGGATGACCATATTTATCATAAAATGGCACCCTATTTGTGTATGATTTGACTAGGGCCTAAAAACCATATTTTTTAATGGTCATGCAAGATCAAGAAAGTAAATTTACCCAAACAAATAATGAAGCAAGTTTCTAATAATTAAAACCTAGAATTTGGTGTCTCTAGTCAAGCTTAAGTTTGAGCCAAATTGAATTATCAAGTTTAAATTCTTGTTTAAGCTTGGTCTAAACAAGTGTTTGACAGGAAAATTAGCATGGTTGATAAGCATGAAGTTATTCGAGCCGTGCTGAGTCTACTTGAGATGAATTACGCGTTATTCAAATACAAGTTGTTTATAAAATGAACTTAGAAATCTAAACATATTTAGATTATTTTACAATTCAAATGTATTTGAACTAGTCAAAAAAACTGTATTGAGTTCGAGCTACTCAGACTTTTTAATAACCCTACCAAAAATCATTACAGGGTTGAGGCCAGGCTCCCCTCCATTGTTTCTTTTCATGCTTATATAGAGGCACTAAGACGGTCGCAAAAGGATAAAGAAAGTAAGAACCTTTATTTGCAATCTGGCAAGTTGTAATTTTATATGTAGAGCCGCCGAGTTTGAGTGTGTAATCGGTCCAATCCGAGACAAAAAAAAAAAAAAAAGAATTAGTTATTATTAGAATTTAGCCCCTAATATACAAGATAGATTCAAATTTGACCCAAAAGCTTAAGGTCAAACTCCGATAAATTTGTTGTAAACTTTATATATATATTTATATATTGACCCAATTCGGTTTATGGATCTTACCGATGTTCACAAAGGCTCCCCCTTAAGCTCTTCATAGATAAGTTGGATTTAAGCTTGACTTGAAAATGTATAGTTGGAGAGAGTTCGTTGCACATTTTGTATATTAAGCCATATCTATTTTTTGACACGTTGGATGTGTCTTGCACCTCTCACATCCTTTTCATATCTTTCGAAATTCACCCTACAATATGAGGTTGAAAATTGATTGGCCTTAACAACCCAACCTTAGTGGCTCCATAGAACCTCATCCTAAAACCCTAATGTGGGTTTCAATTTTGGTCATGATCTAGATGACATGAAGCGGAAGCGAGAGCAAAAAATTTTTAAAAAAAAATTGAGAGCGAGGGTATCATTGAGAACACCAAATTTATATATATGACATTGTGATGCACATTGAAAAAAAAAAATGTCAAAGTATTAAAAATGAGAAAGATAATTATTTATTAGTGTTACAAAAAAAACAATCACACGCACACAGAAGAGGCTTTGATAGAAAGCATCTGTAGACTATGACCAATGTTAAATAGCTTCACAGCTGTGTGATTGGGCCTCAACTTTCACGGATTATAATTATAAAATTAATAAATTTCAAAAATTAAATCCGTGAATTTGGGATTGTTTGATAATAAAACTTATGGCTTAAAATTGAATACTTTAAGTAGTTGATAAATTAAATTTGTTTGATAACCCATATATATTAAGATAAGCACTTATTAAAAATACACTAAAATTTTAAAGAGCAAACTATTTATTTATCATTTAATATTGAAAATATTAGTCAATAAAGATTTTATCAATTCCTTATAATGGACAATTATACCCTCAATCAATTTTGCACTCTTAAGTTTTCAATACACACCATCCATCACAACCACCACCATTGTATTGTCGCCGTCACCACCTCCAATGCCACCATTGTGCCGCCACCCACCATCATTGTACTATCATTACCATCACCATTACTGTTATTATTATTGTGACATCACAACTACCGAAACCATCATTGTGTCACTGTAACCACCATTACCATTTCGTCACCACAATTATTGTGTCGTCGCCACCACCATTATTGTCACTATCACCATAGTTGCCATCACAATTATTGTGCCACCATCATTACCACCAGTACCATCACCACAACTACCGTTGTGTCATTGCCACCACTATCATCACAACTATTATCGTATCTACTACTACCATTATCATCACTATCACCATCACAAATAGTTTGATTCAATTTAATATTTAAATTTCAGTTAATACCAAATAATTTATAAATTAAAAAATTTAACGTTCAATATTTAAAATTTAATATTTAATTTTTAATTTTATCAAATATTACTTTGTTATCGTTCAAAATATTAATTTATTGAGGTAGATGGACGAATCATGTCATCTAGATCGTGACAGCTTGATTATGTCGAGCATATTAGTCGTTAAATTTGGAATGTGGGTCAACCGTATGACCTTTATGATTTCAAAAAAACACCAAACGTTGAAATTAAGAAAAGTGAAGTAATTTTTGTAAAATTCCAAAGTAAACAGTGACTACCATGGAAACAAGTTATGGTGAGTCAATTATGTGACCACTGTCTACAACGTTAATAACACGTTTTCATTGACAACACATAGTTTGTTCACCGACTGCACATTGATTGGCTAAGTTCAAGGTCTATCTCAAATTATAAGTCTGGTCTGAGTTTATAATCTGTCTCTAAAAAATTCAACAAGTCCAACTCAATATGGTCAAACTCATTAAGTTCAAGGAGTTACATTAACAGAGAGCACACAAGGTCATTCAAGGCCTCATCCTCACCGCCTTGGAGAGAGTCAACTCTCACCTTATCCTTTGACCGAGTCCCATGGAGAGTATTGTAACTGCTTCGCCCGTTAGGAAGATGTTGTCACCTCCGTCAGATCAGCTATTTAATTACTATTAAATCACCACAATCCGTTATGACCACCAGACTAACTATTCAATTACTATGCATTATGAGACGATTATAAATTGTAAACCCCGCAAACACTTGGAGACATCATACTCAGTCGAGCACAATTCTCTTCTCCCTCTCTAAGCTTATAACTCCCTACTCTCTCTGCACACTTGAGTTAATAAAATATCTGGCAATCTTTGTCATTCAAAATGAACGTAAGTCACATTGATCGAACCACTATAAATCTTGTCTTCTCTCTCCCTCAACTTACTCTATTTTGTACTGCTTACTTAACAGATGGTGTAAAAATTAATCTGTGCATCATCACACATGTAAAAATAAACGTGAAAGATTGTTAATGAATAGTGATATTATTTATAATTAATGATGTGATATTTATCATTGCATAAGTATTACTTTGCATAGGTCTACCTAGTACCCTTTCCATTACAATGGTCGGGTGTTCAAATCTCGTCACTGCTATTAATGTTTATCCTTTAAAAAGTTTGCAGGCGATGAGCTTTGAATGATGAATGAAGAATGATGAATGATGAATGATGAATGAGTGTCTTAAGATGTTGTGTTTGTATTTAACCAATTATTTTTCCTTTAAAAAGTTTGCAGGCGATGAGCTTTGAATGATGAATGATGAATGAGTGTCTTAAGATGTTGTGTTTGTATTTAATCAATTATTTTTATGTAATTTATTTCAATCGACCCTTCCTATTAAAATTAATTGTTAAATAAGACAAATTAACTATTAATCTTAACATAATTTATCTCATTAGCAGTTAATCTTAACATAATCTATCTCATTTATTAGTTGATCTTAATGGAAAAGGTTGATTGAAACAAATTAAATAGCTCAAAGGACAAATTGTGAGAATTGAAAATTCAAGAGGCAATTTAAAATAAAGGTCATAGTTTATGGGACCTTTATGCGATTTATCTTAAATATTACATAAACTTTCTTCTTTTATTAATATATTTTGTACCAATCCCTAATTGGACAATCTTATTTATCAAAAGTTAAAATTAGCCAACATTAATATTTTGAATCCCTTTTCTTAGTTGATAAAGATTCTATTGGGCCCACATAGTGGATGGGTTCTCACTCTAAGAGCATATTCACGCTCGATTTCTTCTCTTTTAACTACTTTAACTAGTCAAACACAAAAAAATTTCTCCAACCCACTCTCTATTTCTTAGTTAACCCAAATGGCTCACTAAATATGGTAAGTCATTTGAGCTCTCTAAATTCTCTCTCTACCTTTTTTTCTCTCTATCTCTCTGTATATATACATTCTACTTCTTTTAAATTATTGAAAGTTAATGAAAGTTGGGTGTAGTAGTTAATTAAAATAGAGATTATGGTTGAAATGAATTTATAAAAGTGATTAGTTAAAATAGTGAATGTAATATTTAAATATATTTTGACTAACTATTTTAAAGAGGAGGATTGAAGATGCTCTAATATACTTGGGAGTCGTTTGATTGTAGTATTAAATGATGGATTTACAGTATCATAATAGATTAAAACTCTTTAATCCAATCTTATATTACATTTAGTCGCAAAAAATACTTTGTATTATATATAATTTTATTTCAAATACTTATTCAAATAATATACTCTATCCATACTATTGAGCCAATTATAAAATCACCTAAGGAAGGTGATATTATAGTCTAATTCAAGTATAAATTTATTATTTTATCAGTCAAATAAACAAAAATATTAATAAACAAACAAGATTGATAATTTTTTTGTCAATATGTATTTGGTACTCTATTATCCAACTCTTAATTCTCGGTGGCTTACTAAACATTGGATTACATTGCTTAGTATTTATGTCTTATATTTAATCCGCTTATACAAAATTAATATGTATTATTTAATACAATTCATATTTTTATAATACAGTAACCAAACCAGCCTATATAGTAACAGTAATGCTACGCTGATTAAATTTTGGAATCAAATTAAGAACCTAAATGATATCAGAGCATATTATTTAAAGTCTTTATTGAGACCCAAATGACTTCACACCAAATATAGTAATTACTCAGCAATTTCCCAGTTTGAAACAAAGGAAAACTTTATTAAATACCAAACTTTTAAAAAACAAAAAAAAATCATAGTCATCCAACGGTATTATTCATCATATTGATGTTGAAATCCACGTGTACGGTTTAGATTGTTCTGAAGAGTATTTCTTAGTGGAGAAGCACTCATTAATTTAATTAAACCCCCTTAATCAGCAAACACTTTCTCTCACACACGTAGCCTAAACCGCGTTTTTTACACTTAATTAGAAAACTTTCCATCTCCAATTTGGAAAAACCATCTCTTAGGCCCTCATTGCCGTCTGATCTCTCCTCGAGATCCGTGTCAAGAAAGAAATTCGTAATCCAACGGTGATTATGCGAGGTAGACGTACCACACTACTAAGTCCTCCAGTGACAACAAATCTTCTCAATTCTCATGATCTCTCCCCCCATATATACCAACGCACCACGTTCCTTTCCTTCCACAACTCTCTACTCTCTCTACTGTGTGCTTTTTCAAATCTCTCTCTCTCTCTCTCTCCTAACAATGGCGTACTCGAAGGTTATGGTTTCGATGTTAGTGGCATTGTTCTGGGGACTTGTGGTCGCTAAGTCTCCGTCAGCCGCACCATCACCGCTGGTATCTCCAACGACAGCAACATCACCAGCCGCCGCTCCTCATGCTCCAACACCGTCACCCACCGTAGAGCCACCATCCGCCACTCCAACTCCTACGCCGGCTCCAGTCCTCTCTCCTTCTCCAACAAAGACTCCACCAGCGTCGGCTCCTTCTCCGGCCACCGTGATCTCTCCACCATCTCCTCCGACAGTATTGCCTCCGTCTCCGTCTCCTTCGATCGCGTTGCCTCCGTCTGATGTAGCTCCGGCACCGAACGGCGCCTTTCTGGACAGATTCTCCATTGGATCTATCGCCGTCGGCTTCTTGACCGTCGCTTTGATTGCGTAGACAGCCTAAAAGAATTTATTTTCTTGCTTATAAAGTAATTATTTAGTGGGATTCTTAAGATTTTTTTTATTGCTCATAGAGTAATTATTTATTTGTATTTTTCATTCACTTTAGATTATTTATTATGTTTATGTGATGACTAGTTGCCCGTTATGGTTACCGTCACCGTCACTGTCATTCCTATTTGAATCGCCGCCTAGTGAGATGTTGAAATTGAATTGGAGGAGGTCACTTAAATTATTCAAAACGATGGGAAAATAAAATTTATGGATACAAAGCTTCTCCAGCACCTTTTATTATATAGTATTAGGATTTGAATTTTGAATGAGTTGGTTTTATCTTTTTGATTTGTTGTGTTTAAATTAGGATTTAAAGGCGGTAGAGTAGATCTGATAATTCTAGACACGACTTGTAAAACGGACACGAATCCAACATAGATTTAACGGATTTTGGGTGTAATTTTAACGGGTTCAGGTGGTTAACGGAATAGACCCGTAAAATAAATGAATCGATTTTGTGTTTAACTCATAAACTCGTTTTAATCCTTTAATAGTTGTACTATAATTTGTTTTTAAAAAAAGTTAGGTCTCTGAAACTTTGCTTCATCTCACATCTCCCATCTCTTAAACTCTTTTAAATTTAGTAGTCATTTAATGTTTATTTTTTGTCTTTATTTTTTTGCTCAACCTTGATTTATTGTTATAGTAAATAAGTCAAACATGTGTAATGTGTAACAAATTGATGATTTTTCGTGTGTACTCAAAATACTCTAACCTATTATCTTATTTAGCAGATGACACACAGGTTATATCGGGTAACCCGTCTAATAAATGATTCGTGTATGGATGTAATAGTTGGACTCGTTTATATAAACGAATAAAATATGGATTGAGAGTTTTTGGACACAAACTAGTTCCACTCGACACAATTGGCAAGCCTGCTGTAGAGTATGTGACAGAAACATCTTTTCCAGTTACCATAACATAATTCTTTTCTAAAATTTTAAGGTAGTTGAGAGGGAGTATGATTGGATTCCGTCACCGTACTTTTTAAGGTTGTTAATTTATCTCATGAAATCTTCCCGCATAACCTACCCTCACCTAAGGTGCAATTCGGGCAGGTTGGACAGTCAACTTTAACTCAATCCTAGGTATATAATCTTCAACCCTAACCCTAATCCTAACCCTAACCCTACCTCGGGTTGAAAAACTTAACCCAACCACTGCCCGAGTTTAATTTGGACAGGTTCCAATTGAATTCGGGTTAATGATTTCGAACAAATTTCGAGTTGATTTTAAGTTACTTTACGAGTTCAATTCGGTTTGAGTTCAGGTAAATCCTAAAATAGGCTTGTTGTTCTAAACCTAGTACATATATTACATAATATTCACCTAAATTAACAACCAATAATTTCAACCAAGTTTTTAATTGTGCTAATGCTAGAACAAAAATGAAAATAAACGAGAGAGACAGAGAAGGATAGAACAAAAATAAAAATTATATATAATTTTTTTTTTAATATGTTGGGTTCGGGTTGAACCCGTGAACCCGAGACCTTAACCTAAGCCCAACCAAAATTGAATTAAGGTTAAAATTTTTTGGTCCAAGTCCAACCCAAATATTAAAAATCTTTGCCTAAACCCTAATTTTTTCGAGTTGAAATCGGATTACCCAACTCAAGTTACACCCCTACCCTCGCCTGACTGTATTGTTTTGTTAAGGTTTAAAAGAATTATCATAAAAGATGGGATCGAAATATAATATAACAAAACTGTAAGATGGTTATATAATCCATAGTTCAAAGGTCTTCAGAAATAAAATTAGATTGGCTTTAACAAATTAAAAATGAATAAATCAATATGTTTATGTGCAAACTTATAGGATATACAACACTTTATAATAGTTTATGCATTTGCTGCTATTCATAGACAAGCAAGTTAAAACTCATCTTTTCCATGTCCTCCTTGTGTGGAAGAGGGTCATAGACTTAGAGTGATGTGAACAATCATGGCAGAGTTCGTTTCTGCACTACTTTTCTTCACCATTTTCCCCTTCTATGATCTTTTTAATGACAGGCTCAACCATTGTCTCCAAGTCTTTCAAGTCTACCTTCAAATTTTCGGCCTGTAAATTCAAAGCAGATTGAACTAGCAGTGAATGCTAGGATATATAACTTCTTAAATGAGGGTAAAAATTTAAAAACCAAAAGTTTTGGGTTGGAAAAAAAATTGACAGCAATTTTAAGAGAAGAGAAAAGAGGAAAAAAAACGCTGGGGTGAATGTAAATAATCATTCCATTAAAAAAAGGGATATCATAACGTAAATAATCATCTGATTTGGGAAAAATCAGATGTAGGCATGTAGCAGCTTTAATTCCGTATGCAGAGAAATTATTTCTATGGCTCGAACAAGTGGGTATGAACCAATTTTACTGCTACGTCAAGGATTACCCTAATCTTAAGTTATATGAGCTATGGAACAAAATATTCAAATTAACCTAAGCAAGCTAGTATCATTAGCAATGAAATAAATAAATTGGCTATGTAAATCATTCTAATAGCCCAATTATCATAAGCTAAAATAAACTCAAACAATCAAGTAATGTGATAATGTTATACCTTGTGAATAAAATCTATTGTTAATTGAGCATCCTTAGCAGCGACACTAGATCCATGTTCTACCATTAAAGCTGCTTGTTTGAGCTTGCTGTTGTCTGCAAGTTCATCCGCCACCTCTGCTGATACTTTCTCCACCACAGTCGCTACCTTCTCTACCACCTCTGCCACAAATTCGACCTCTTCAATGGCATTTTCCACCTTCCCTAAACATTCAAATTTGAAAAATTAGAAGAAAATTAACAAATGAACCAAAATTGTTCTCATTTGGTGCCTAATTGAAAAGGCTGATTTGTTTATCCTTGATTTCTCTGTGAAATAGGTAATGAATCACAAACAATGAACATAGTTTGAGGAGAATAATGACATGAATGAACTTGGTGCAAAATACAATCGACAATATTAGTAGTACAACTGCCATAAAGGAAAGAGTCTGCATGGACAAGCCTGCTTCTCCTTCTACCATGCTATGGGAGAGTTGATCAATGGTATGCATTGTAAATACCTTCTAAAGTCAGCCACTTTCCCCATTTTTGATGCCCCAAAGGTAGCAGTAGGGACAACATAGAGAACAAAAGCCATTTTGCCCTGCAAAAAAAGATTATTTATCCTCAGGCTTTTTTTCAAAAAAGAAAACTACAAATGCATTGGTAAATGAAAAATATTTGTGTATTCCTTTGTCACTATGGGATCTAGAGAGGCTCAGATACACATAGCCTTATCCCCGCATGCATAAACGTAAAAAATACAATATCTTTTGTTAACATAAATTCAAATATGGACCAATTTGGTGCTCCAAGACAAGGGACCTAGGGGAAATTTTATCATTAAATAAACATTGGAAAGCAGAAACACATAGGATGTGCCTACATTGATTGTGCCAGAATGATTAATGTAGCAATATGAGTTGCTCACGAAAGCAGAAGAACCACCTTAAGACATGTCCACTACCAAGCCTCAGAGCTATAAGGTCTATAGAGATCATTTGGCTTCTGAGACTGAAACCTCTACTTATTCCACTACCCCAAACCCAAACTCGAGGCAAAATCCCATGACTGTACTACCTATTTTCAGCCATTACCGGTCTAAGATCTGATGAGGGAGTTTCGAACAGCGCCTGCTTGGTTCAGCATAAGGTTCGAGCAGGGCGAGAACGAGCAAAGGATTTAGCAGAATATTGACTGCCTATGGACGTAACCCCAAATTTACTGGGACAGCACCTCATTTAAATAAAAAAATGACATTTGGAGGGACAAGCAGCAGCCCCTCATTCACAAAGCGTCCACTTTAAGCACTGCCTTCAACCATTTTCATCACCCTATGCCACTGCAGACCCCACCAATCCACGGGATAACCAACCCCCTTTTCAGGATTGCGGCCTTCATCTGCCCATCTCCACTAGATTGCCAACAGTAACCACCAATTACGGTGACTAGCTTCACTCCTAAGATTGCAATTGTTAAGAGACCCGCCTAAAGTACCAGCCAAGTAAAGGAGGGGAATTCAAGCATCATTCTTTGCACACATAGTCCAAGGTTATCGGTAACGGTACAAGACTTAGAAAGAATTGACTTGAGCATCAAAGAACCTTGGGCCTGCTGACACTAGAACAATGGTTGCAAAATCTAGCTACGAAGAAACAAGTCCCCTCAATCTGCCTTATTTTCCTCATTTAAAACGTCCATCATAAACTTTAAAATTCTGATAAACAGTCTTTTATCATTGCCAGATCCTATCACAAATTATCATAAAAAATATTTGAATTAATTAATAATTACATACCATGTAGGGAAGTTGTACGAAGAATGAACTGGCGCTGCTGATTGAACCTTGACCCTGTCATCCTTTAGCCTGCAATGAAACAGAAACCCAACTCAAAACTTACAAGATTTAATAACTCTAAAACCTACAAACATAAGAAAGTCCATGAATTAATTTTTGCACGGGTTGGTTCAGGGGTTGAACAAGGCACAAGTGTCCCAGCCACATAAAACCTGGACTTCACCAATGCACTTGGGCAAAGGTAATAGGGTCCATCCAAGTTTGCATTACAATACTGAGTCCAAAGAACATGTGATTGAAATAATCCTGTTAACGAAAAGGAAAATATCTCGATCAGAAGGATCAGGCAAGATTATTACTCACATATCAGTCTTTGACGTTTCACCTACTCTGCTATTGGTACTAATTAGCCTCAGCCCTTGATGCATTGACCAACTGTGCCGAAGATTAGATGACAGCACCTCATCATGGCGTCCGGACAGAGATGAATGTCCAGAGTAAACTCTGTAGCGATGAAGAAATGTAATCAAACTTCGAAGTTTGTAATAAGATGAAGAATTTCTCACAGACATTACGACAAACACTTGGAATGCGAATAGAGAAGACGTAGTAAACCAGATGCCCTCGTCAGGAATCCCAACAGTACAGGTTGATCCCAGAAGACGATTAAGGTTGAAGCCATTTCTAACCTTCTTTAATGGCGTGTTTTTTCTACGACCAAAGAGTGACACAGACGCTAAAATAAAAAAATGACTTAGAAGAAGAAGATACGAACACGCCAAGGAATGATGTGGTTATTTTATCTGTTCACTTTAAGGTAAGGTTAAGGTTTTGTCCTAAAAATTCAAACAGGTCTCCTGTTCCTTGCCCAAGTCATTAAAAGTTGCTAACGGAGAAAGATGAGTAAATATTCAATACAACTATACATACCACTTATTATATTTTTATTAAGGGAGAATTATATCTACACCCCTCTGAGATTTGTCACTTAATCATTTAGACCTTCTAACATTTAAAATATTACACATAAATCTCAATAATTTATACCCACGTAACACTTAAACCCCTGTTGTACATATATCTGTTAATAAATTACACTTAGATTATCCTAAAGTTTGTGGGTATATAATATTTAGACCCTTTAAGTTTAAAATATTATATATAGACCAAAAATATTTTAATCAAATATAAGATATCAAATATTTTAAATTTTACAATCAAAATTCATGTTCTATTGTATAATTTATTGAAATAAAATTAAAAATAAAAATCTAATTTTTTTTAAAAAAATCGTAATTAATATACAATTATACTATCTATTATTTACTAACCATGGATTTTTTTTTAAATAACTTTTTATTTTTTATTTTTTATTTTATTTCAATAAATTAAATAATAAAATATGAATTTTGGATGTAAAGTTCATGTTTTATTATTAATGACTTAAACCAATTGTCTGATTTTTTAGTTTTTTTCTAATAGATAATATAATTGTAAACTAATTACAATTTTTTAAGAAAAAATTAAATTTTTATTTTTAATTTTATTTCAATAAATGATACAATAGAACATGAATTTTGGTTCTAAAATTTAAAATATTTTATATTTTATATTTAATTGGAATATTTTTTGTCTAAATATAATATTTTAAATTTAAAAGGTCTAAGCATTATATATCCACAAACTTTAAAGGAGTCTAAGTATAATTTATTAATGAATATATTTACAACAGAGTCTAAGTGTTATGCGCATACAAATTTCAAGAGATCTGTATATAATATTTTAAGTATTAAGTAGTCTGAATTATTAACTGACAAATTTTAAGAGGTCTGAGTGTAATTCTCTCTTTTATTAAATGATAATAGTAGCATGATATTGCCGTTGTATTAAATTTTTTCGGAGGAGAGAAAGTCATACTGGCGGCCCTGCCTTAGTCTACGTTTACTTAGTAAAAAGGCTGTAAAGGTTTCTTTGGAAAGGTTTTTTTTGCTTGACTTTGAAAAATGGACAAACTTTAGTTTACTCCTTCTGATTTAATTTATTTGCACATAACTTCTTTAGGGTTTAAAAATTGCACGTAACTCTCTTATAGTTGTTGGACTAAAATGTATTGCTTAACTCCGTTAACAATAAGATTAAAATGACTTTAATGCCCCTCTCCACCTTTCTTCTCCGACAACTCTATCCATTCTTTTTTCCCCTAGGCTAAAAAAGCACCCACCTATTTCTTAATGGTCTTTTTCTTTGAATTAGAATTAGCAGATTGCAGCTTTGGATGGTTTTCGGCCTTGCTAGTTTCAACCCATTGAGTGGGTGACGATTGAAGAAAGGCCAATTAGGAATAGTAATGAGAGAAGTCAAAACCACACCACCAACATATATGAGAAGAGTAACGTTATACTGATTAAATTTTAGAATTAAATTTGAAGTTCAAATGACATGACAGTATATTATTTGAAATTTTTATTGAGACCCAAATGATATGACACAAAATAAAGAAATTCAAGTCAATTATTATGTCATTTGAACTTTAAATTTAATCTCAAAATTTGATCAATGTAATATTACTGATATAAGAAAGTTGGGAATGCATCAAACAATCCAAAAATTGGGATATAATGCAATTCAAGTCAAAACACACGCCATTATTGCAATTTAGGTCCAACACTCCAAATGCCCCTTTTTCCTTTTTCTCCGACAGACCCGCCTTTGTTTATTCTTTTTCCCTTTCTCCTTCTCCGACAAAATGGGATGCAAAATGATTTGGCGGTGGGCTTTTTTTTTTTGACCACAGACCAAAGTAGTGTAGAGAGAAAGACACACAAAGAGAGGGGTTTTTTTTTTTGAGAGAGAAGCAAAGTGATTAAGAGAGAGAGAGAGAGAGAGTTTGCTAGGTTTTTTTGTCTTTTAAACATTTTTTTTGTGCCCGTGACTCATACATCAGCTAAATTGGATTGAAAATATGACGCTGCATTTTAGTGTATAAATCACAAGTGGATTATGTGCTATTTTAGAAGGACATGGAGGTGATGTGCAAAACGGATTAACCAAAGGGATGCAAAGTGAAGTTTGCCTTGAAAAAATAAGTGAAAGGGTAAATTTCACTTGAACCCCTTGACATTTAGCTTTATTATATGGACACCATTCACATTATAAAAATTACACTGAGACCTCAATTTGTGGACGTTATGATCAAAAAGACTTTGTTGTCCTTCATTTAATAGGTCAATGAAGTCTAAATGAGAAGGCTGCGACTATTCCCACCTATTAAATCTCATTTCCCATCTCATTTAATCATTTTACTTTGAACTATTAAGTCACCTGTATATCCACTCTCATTAGTTTCTAAACTTTCCCCGTTTATATTCATCAATTAAAAATTAAATTTATTTAATTTTATTTCAACCTAATGTATAAGTGATGATCAAAATTTTGTTTCGATACATTATTTTGGTACAAAAATTTTCAGAAGCAAAATAAAAATTAATAAAAAAATAATTATTATTTTTAAAATATTATTCAAAGTATGCCAAAAAATCTTAAAATATTAAAAAATATTCCAAAAATATTGAAAAAAATATATGAAAACAGCTCAAAATAATATAAATTACCTCAGAACATTGAAATTTCACTTCAATTACTATTTTTGTTTCGGTTTATATGATATATATTTAATAGTTTAATTGAATGAGTATAAATAGAGTAAACTTAGTAACTAATGAAGTGAGTATAGATGAGATGAACTTAGAGCATCTCTAACCCTAATTCAAAGTTAGACTCAAATTTAAATTTGAGTAGAAAAGGCTAAAAAATTTACTGCAACCTTTGAGTCAAACTTATATCAAATTAAGGGAAACTCATTTTTTTATTCAAATCAAGGACAATTCAAAACTTTATCTAAATCTTCAATAGTGAAATTTTAACGTTTTTTAAAGATCCAATAGTCATCTTTATTCTCTTTTAAATTTGGGTTTGCCCTTATTTAAATTTAGTTTTCTCTTTTTTCAAATTTGAGTTTATCCATAGGAATCTTTTATATCAAATTAAGTTTTTTACTCAAATTTGAATTATAGGTGAAAATGCTTTTAATAATTTAAAGTAAGATAATTATATGAGATGGGGAAAGAGATTTAAGGGGTGAGAATAGTCTTTCCCAAATAATTTAAGGATGTAATAATTGTGACCATTAGATTGTTAGAAGATTCCAACAGTAAATGCACTATACTATCAATTTGGCATTCACAATACATTAAGTCTTTAAATTGTATCCACAATTTATATCCCAATAACATTAGTATTTTAGAAAATACGAGAGGATTCAGATGCCTGAGTAAATATTTAATGTAATAGTTACACTAAATTAACACTGTCATATGGTGTAATCATCCAATAATATACTTATGTGTAAAAAAGATTAACCCCACTTTTTTTTTACATAAATAGTTAGAATAAAACAATGCATCTCAAATGAGTTTACCAAATGCTTAATACCAAATAATGTGGCAAAATTCTTGCATCGAATATTTAGTGAAAGTGAATGAGATTCAATAATTTAACTATCTACACTGATATTAAATAATTACACAACGTGATAATATTGGCTTAATTTTACCATTACATTGAAAATTTTCTCAATATGTTAGATGAGTGGAGAGAGAATTTTCAATAACCCAAACTACGAATTGTTTATAAAACGACATCGTTTTGAGGATACTAGAGTGCAGTGGAAGATATGTAGCGCTGTATAGCTCACGCAAATGGACTGGAGTTTGGGCCCGTCTAGACAAGGCCCAGTCAGTCCTAACCAATCACCCCACCCACCATTAGCCGCCATGAAAATGAGACCAAGCTAAAAGTCAAGAGGGGAACAAATGCAAAGACAGAACAATGCCTCAGCATCTCCAATACCGTCCACAAGGTCTCAAAACAACTCCAATCTGATTCGCTATTCCTTTCTCTCTTCTCCCTTCACCCCAGTCTTCCCTCATCTCTTCTCTCTCTTCAAATACAAGACCACCCATCTCTCTCTCTGATCTTCCCTTATGATTCATGGCCTTCAATCACCGAAAGTTGGTCCAAGATTTCTGCAACAATACCATAAAACAATTCTGCGGAACAAATTATTGCGACCCATCGAAGAACGAAAACGGCGCTTGTCCACTTTCATGTATCTCCTGCTGTTACCCAATATGTTATCGTCCTCTGGGACCAGTTTCAGACCCTAAACCCACTTGGAATGATCCTCCAAACCCACCACACAGACTATCTCTCCTCTTCATCATTGGTCTCGCTATACTCGCCGCCACTTTCTTTCTCTTCTCTTGTTTCCTGATCTACAAGATCTACACAGGTTGGTTCAGATGTAGGAGGAGATCACAGCCACAAGAAGAGGAGATTCATGATGATTTTCTTGATGAAGATCATGGGCCTGTGGTGGATCATCACATATGGTACATCAGAACTGTGGGTCTTCAACCATCAGTCATCAGCGCAATTACAATTTGTAAGTACAAAAGAGGGGATGGACTTGTTGAAGGAACAGAGTGTTCTGTTTGTTTGAGTGAGTTTGAAGAAGATGAGACTCTTAGGTTATTACCCAAGTGTAGCCATGCTTTTCACATTCGTTGTATTGATACTTGGCTTAGATCTCACACCAATTGCCCCCTTTGCCGTGCTGGGATTGTGATCAACGCGGCCGAATCGCGACCCCTAGAACAGAGTGTGAATAATTCAGGTGTTGCTGAAGAAACCCAGTTGGGAATTTCAGAGAATAACAATGAATTAGCAGGGGATGGAGAAGAAGAGGCTTGTGAATTGAGGAATAGGATAGAGGAAGAAGGCGAATCTCAGGTCGAAAATCGAATAAAGATTGAGGAAAATTCAAAGGGGGAGGTGGATGAAGTTCAACCATTGAGGAGATCTGTTTCTGTGGATTCCTTAACAGCTTCAATGATCAGTCTTGCTGTAGCTAGTGCTCATTCATCACAATCTAATGGGAATTCGGATTCTCAGGTTGTGAAAATCAATGAAACAAATATGGAAATTGTGCCAAAAAACTTTGGTGTTAATATGAGATTGGTGGGTAGTCCTTCAATTGGAAGATCACTGCAAAAAGGGCCTCGTCCGATCAAGAGATCATTTTCTTACAGTGGGACGGTTTTGTTATCAAGGCACAGCCATGGCCGAAAATAGGTTCTTCCTTCATGAAGTTTTTCATTAGATTTCAAGGTGAGATGTCTACAAATTCAGATGTCTCAGGAACTCTCAACAAGCTGAGAGTTTTTATAGGTTTTTTTTTTAGCAATCAATATGTCAAACTGTATAATAAGAGTTGGAAATTGAGGCTCATCCAAAAATGGAAGCAGGCTCAAAGTATAATTACATTGTATTTTTCTTGGTGTCAAGGTTTCTGAAAGAGAACAAAGAAATTGTAAGCAAACAGTTTTGCTCTTATGAAATGATTATAATGTTTTGAGGTAGCACTTCGCAACAGAGTTAATGGGATGAATGATACTCTTTATGTTTGTTTTGCCATTTTTCAATCTGCTATGAGAAGGTTTTGTTTGTTAGTCAGTCACTCGGAGGGACAACGAGATTCGAACTGTGATCTAACATGCATAAAGTATTGTCTCGACTGTTTGGAGCCTACATGAATTGTGTCAATTATCCTATTAGTGAATGTTTAGTTTCCTTGTTGCATATCTGCTGTGTCGTCTATGAGACAATTGTGATAGGTAGTACTGCTCTTTTTTTTTTTGTTTTTGGTGTCCATCGGAAAGTTTAAAACAAGCAAACTAAATACAGTTTCTAGGAAGTGAAACACTGGTCAGACCAGCCATTAAACAACTGACCATCTGAGGTGGGGATCCTCCAGCTCAACAAAAGACTCCAGTTGATTGACACCAAGGTTTGGCAGTTTATCTGCGAACAGGTTTCCTTCTCTAAGGGTATGAATAATGGGTATGTGATTTAACTCCATTATCCAATGATGATGACTCTGTTTGGATGTGTCTCTTCAGAATCAAGAGAAAGCAGTTTTGCTGCTTCAATAAAATCTGTTTCCACTCAGACGTGTGTGATATTTCTTCTCTGAATAAGCTTCAGGCCTTTGAAAATGGCCCAGGCTTGGATGCTCGTCCTGTCATTCATTTTCCCATAAAAGTCTGTAATCCATTTACCTTGATCGTTTCTGATAATTCCTCCCACACCTGCTGGTTGAAGATTGCCTTTAGGGCTCCCATCCGTGTTCAGCTTGTTCCAATCTGATAGTTAGTACTGCTGGAGCTTAAGCAATTTGTTGTGTACTTCTTGTGGAATTACATTTTCTAAATCACTAAGTGCAGTCTATAATTCTTCCAAGAGGTTATGAAAGGAAAAGCCCTTGGTACTTGAGGGTTATTATTCAGTATCGTGGTTGACCATTTGGAGTTGTAAATTGATCCCGATTTACCCTGAGTTGGTAACTTCCGGTACGGTACTAAACTAGGTATTATACGGTTCCACCTAATTATCATTTATGCCATAGAATGAAACCTGCAGAAAATGCTTCATTTTTTTTTTTTGTTTCAAGGGGGTGTATACAAAGAACTTGGACAGAGTTAATCTTGTGGAGAAGGATATTGGGTTCGATTAAAACAATAAACAGAAGCGTAAGGTATGAAAATATATTCATATAAAATTATGCGGAGATAGAGAAGGCGATAAACTAATACTTACCCCCGCCCAGTATACTAACCTAAGGACAGTACTAACTTGTCTTATTGGTGATAAAAGTTCAAAGTTTTCAAGTACAAAGTCAGTTGATTGAGCTAATCTAATAGAGATGGAGTCTTCTCAACCTGTTATGGAAACAAAGCGAGAGTGCAAATGCAGCTGCCTTTGCAAGGCACTAGGGTCACATTATACAATATATTGTTTATTTTGGGATAAGTTCTTACAACTTCAAAATGCATTGTACGATCCAAATTCAAAACTCACACTTATTCCCACCCCTATAATCACTTTATTAGTCGACGTGGGATTGGATCATCATATTTTACAAGCATGGAATGCCATCAAATGACAACATTTTAAGTAGACTCAATGTGAGAAAATGCATAGTTGTTCTCATTTGTTTTGTGAATGTAAGCTCAAGCAGAGACGATAATAGGCTCTGGAGGTGCTACTGTGGAGATTTCTTAGCACTTAATTTCCTTGCCAGTAGTTACTCTTTGAGTCCAATTTTCTCACCTACAGTGGAAAAATACAACTAACCTACAAATTTTTATTTTACTTTTTAAAAAAAATTACACACAAAAAGTTACGTCATGCTTGTCTTATATCTCGGTTTCAAGAAGAAAAACTATTTGATCAGTTATTTTTTATTTTATATTTTTTGAAAGTTGAGAACAAATGGATAGATTTAAAAAATAATTTAAAATAATTTGTGTGTTTTTAAAAACAATATTTCCAGAATTTAAAAAAAATCACCACCACCATTACCACATTTCTGTTTTCATTATTTTTTGAGTTATTATCCAATCAAGTTTTATTATTTTATATTTCTTATAACTATTTTTGAAATCATATAATTAAATAAATTTTGCGATACAAAAAAACACCAAAACACAGGCCCCGCTTGGTTTAGTCTTAAAAAATAGTATTCGAAAATTATTTTTATGAAAAGTTTTAAAAAATTATTTTTAGTTTTTTTTATGGTATAACTTGTTTGGTTATATAATTCTAAAAATAATTATACGAAATAGAAAGCATTAAAATTTGTTTAGACAGTAACTCAAAAAATAATGAAAACAAAAAATGTAGTGGTGGCCGTGATAAAAATGTAGTGGTGATGGTGTAAGTGTGGTAGTGGTGGTGTTGGTGTAAGGGTAGTAACGGATGATGGTGGGAGTGTGGTGGTGATGATGGAAATGTGGACGTGGTGGTGGTGGTGATGTTTTCTAAATTCTGAAAATGTTGTTTTAAAAAACACACAAAATAATTTTAATTTGTTCTCTAAATTTACCTAATTTTTGTTCTCAATTTTCAAAAATTAAGAATCAAAAAAACAATTGGTCAAACAACTTTTCTTCCCCAAACTATTTTTGAAAATAGAAATGTTTTCAAAAATAAAAAAACAGTTTATGAGATGCAAACTAAACAGGGCCACACTTTTCTAAAATTCTTTCAAAAAATAATTTTTGGATGTTATTTTTGAAATACAAATTAAACAAGCCTTAGTTTTTTTTTTCCTCGTTCCATTTTCTTTTTATTATTCTCTTGCCAAAAGTGATTTCCTGAAATTTCTTAAACCAGATAGAGCAAAAAATGCCACACACAAAAAAAAAAAAACAGAAATAACTTAAAACTTGCAAAACAGAGGACATGTTTGGTTTGGTTTTTAAAAACAATTTTTTGTTCTAAAATCAAGGAAAATGTTGTTTGTTTAGCTTTTTTGTTTTCTAATTTTTTGAAAATTTTGGGAATTGAGATATAATTTTAGAGAACAACAAAAAATATTTTTTGAGTTTTCAGGCTAAAATAGAAAACAAGAAAAGCAACCCCTCCTCTTTAATGAAGTTCACCGATCAAACTTTCGTAGCAGCAAAATGCATTTTTTTTGTTAAAGTATAAAAGCCCTTCACATGCGTCTTTCTCCATCTCCACTCTATCTCTCTCTCTCTCTCTGTGCAACGACACTGTCCAAACGAAACAGAGACGAAATACATACTATTTCTCTCTCCACTTCGGCAAATTCAGACGAAACACACCCACGATCTGGGTTCAAGAACTCTAACGGTTTTTGGCATCTTCTTCATCCTTTCCAGTGTTTTTTTTTTATGCATCTGGGTTTAAGACACAGGTGGTGGTTGTGGGTTTCGGTAGTTGTAGGTTTTAAGTGGTTATGGGTTTCGGTAGTGGTCGTAGGTTTTGAGTGATTGTGGGTTGGTGGTGGTTGTTGGTTTTGGGTGGTTGTCAATTTCAGAGCTATGGGTTTTGGTAGTCTTGATGCAGAGTCAAAGAGAGAGAGAGACAAAGAGTTTAAGAGAGGTGGAAATTGTAGATTAATGTCTAAATAAATTTTATAATTTTTGTTTTTTAAAATTATTTTCAAAAATATATAACTAAACAGATTTTGTAATCTAAAAATTTTTAAAGACACTTCTTAAAACTTTTCTCAAAAATAATTTTTAGATACTGTTTTTTAAAAAGGTTAATTATAAATTACAACTCAAAAGATTGTTTGTATCTCAATTTGCACCCCCAAAGATAAAAATCTCAATTTGCGCCCTCAAAAATAGAAATTTATATCAATGTACACCCCCAAAGATCAAAAATCTCAATTTGCACCCTCAAATATAGAAGTTTGTATCAATGTATACCCCTAAAAATCAAAAATCTCAATTTGCACCCTCAAAGATAGAAATTTGTATCAATGTACACTAAAACTAACTGCCGTCAATTTGCTGCCTAAAACTAAATTGATAAATTATACCTAGATCCTCTCATGCTTTTCACTTAATAATTTGAACATCTTCACAAAATAAAGGGTAATATGAAATTATAATTTTTTATTAGGATAAAATCATATTTTTTTAACGGTTATAAAATTCTAATAAAAATACTCTCAATCTAAAATGTTCCCCCAATTGGGCATTTAAATAATTATGTTTAAATGATATATTGCATTGGATATAAAAAATATTATATAAATACCTACATTCTATTGAATATTCAAATGGCAAGCTTGATTTTGAACTTTAAAGTGTATCGAACTCATAAAACAACGGGTAATATGAAATTATAATTTTTTATTAGGATAAATTATATTTTTTAACGGTTATAGTAACAAATATCACTAAAAAGGGTTACGTGTTACACGTGCACAAATGTTATAAGATGTAAGAGTAATATTCTAAGTGTGAAGATATCCAAATGATTAAGTGACAAATATGAGGGGATTTAGGTATAATTTATCAATTTAATTTTAGGCAGCAAACTGACGACGATTAGTTTTAGGTGCACATTGATATAAATTTCTATCTTTTAAGGTACAAATTGAGATTTTTGATTTTTGAAGGTATATATTGATACAAATTTATATCTTTTGGTGGTTGTCAGTTTCGGTGCTATTGGTTTTGGCGGTGGTCTTGATGCACAGTGAAAGAGAGAGAGAC